GTAATCCGGTAACACTGAAAGCACTCTCTGATAAAGACGACCTTCTGGCTTGTTGCTATTTGTTTTCTGTATGTCTTTTTTGTTTTGTTCCTAAATTATCCCAATAATTCGTTTGCTTTTACTAATTTTCCCCAGAGTTCTGTTTTGAATTTCTCTTCATTTTTACCTTCATGTTTTCAATTATTTCTTTAGTGCACAGTTTTCAAAGGGTGCACAGTTTTCAAAGGTGCTGTGGCATTATTCATCTCTTGCTAATGAAAACATGGCTTTGGAGGTGCGCCCCCCGCCCCCCTCCAAATAACATCTAGGGCTCAGGGAAAGCCTGGCCTTAAGGTCAGGGAGCTGATGACCTCTGAATAAAATGAGGGATCGCTATGATATCCTCCATGGCTAGGGAACACCCAGTGTGTGCCAGGTTCGGCTGGCCTGGGAGAGAGTGCAGTGGACACTGGTCACCAGGCAGGCACAGGGGGCTGTCTGCACCCTTCCACAGTCAGGCCTGGGGAATGGGTTGGGGAGGAAGAGCTGGTTTGGCAGCAGAGCCACCTCTTGGAGGAGAGAAACGGAGACAGAGGCCACCCTGGCCAATGCCAGAGGACAGTGGCCTACATGTCTGGGCACCCAGGCCAGAGGCCCAGCACACCCCCACAGGGTGGGTGGGTGAGGCCCTGTTCTAAGTCATTTGATGGTCCTCTCAGATGCTGCTGGATCCCAGAGGGAGACAGGGAGCCTGCAGGCTTTGCGTGGGACCCAGGCGTGCCGTACCCGACTTCTAACGTGTCCCGCATGCCAGAACCAGCTACGTGGTGGTGCCACACCAAAAAGGGCCAGCCTGCCAAGCAGTCAGGGGCAGGTGGGAGCAAGTTGGGAAGCAGCAGCAGAAGCTTCCAATCCCTCTGCCTCCACTTCTCCAGCTGACCATATGGCACACCCTGCCCAGCTGTGTGCATCAGGGAGGCTGGCGCCAGGCCTCTGGCACCCGAGCCCAGACGGGGCATTGCTGTCCTGTAGCTGATCTTCGGCGCTGATAGGAACCACAAACAAAGCTGGGTCCAGGGCCCTGTGGACTGGGCTCCCCATCCTTAGGGCCCAGGAGCTCCTTGCTCCTGCAGTTACCTGGGGCAATCCTAAGCTCTGTGGGGAGGCCTGGAGCATTTGTTCTTTTGTTCATTCATTCAATTATCCACAAATGTCCTTGAGCTGGCCAGCTGGTTCCTGGGTAGAGGGGATGCTAATGCCATCAGTTCCTGCTGGGCCAGGGGGTCTGGGAGGCTCAGACAAAGCCTTTCTGAGCTGCTGTGGGAGCAGGTGGTATCCAGGGTGACAGCTCCTGGGTGGGAGATGAGGTGTGCCCAAGCAGTGAAGTGGAACCCCAGCAGGGACCTTTGAAGCTCCAGCGGCCCCTGAGGCAGGCCCGGGAGAGGGAAGAGGGTGCAGGGGGCGGCCAAAGGGTGAGGCTCCATCTCTGCTGGGTGGCTCTGTCCTGGTTAGCAAGGGCTCTCGTGTCCTGGCCCCTGGGCTGTGGAGTAGAATCTGCATCCCCGCTGCCTGTGTGTGAGGACCCGGGCTGCCAGGGCTCCGGCTGGGCCCCAGGGTCAGGGCTTGTGTGCTGGAGACCCAGCAAAGCTGGACAGAGCCCGGCAGGACCTGGCCCTGTGATGGCCCAGCCTGGTGTACTCAGGTCTGCAGGAAGCCGGCCTGGACATTGCGGCCTGATTTCAGTCTGGGAGCTGCAGAGGGGGAGGCAGCCAGGCTGGCCGCTGAGCAGCTGCCCCCACTCGCCTCCCCTGCCAGTGGGGTCTGACCTGGCTGGAAACATCCCTCAGCCTGGTATGGATTTCCTGTCTTCACTGAGGCCAGCCAGGCGCAGGAGCTGAGCGTCAGTCAAGGCCCAGGGATGATTTTCATCTTTGGGGGTAGAGGCTGAGGGAAGCCAAACCTTCCAGAGCTGGGGGTTTTCTTGCTTGTCACTCCATGGCTCCCTTTGGTCGCTCTTTGTCTGGCATGGGTGGGGGCCCGCCCTGTGCTGTGGTCAGCTGTGCAGCCTAGAGCCTACCCGTGACCCTGGGTCTATCCTCAGGGCCCCTTCCAGAGCTGGAGCAACTGGGATGTAATTGTTGAGCTCAGCTTGTGTCAGGCGCACAAGTAACCTCACTTGGGAGACAGTGAAGCAGCAGTGGGCCCGGAGAGGGCTCTTTAGCTCCCAGTCACAGAGTCAGGCTGGGAGAAGTACACACTCTGGTCCCTGATTCCCCCATCAGCACTGGGTGGGCTGGGGAGCGGGGTGGGGGAGGAAGGAACTGGATACAGGGGAGAGTCAGGGACCATAGGGCATCATGGAGATGAAGGGGCAGGTGAGCCCAGGAGGGCACAGCAAGTAGACACAGACATACATGCCCATACAGCAGCATGCTCTCTGTCACACATGCTCACATAGGCAGCACTCACACAGGCACACGTAGGTAGCATGCTCACACACACATGCACGCACAAGCAGCATATTCACACATGTACACGTGCATACCTGGGCAGCATGCTCACATACACCCATGTGGGCAGCACACACATGCACACCTGGACAGCATACTCACACGTGCAGCACACACGAGGCAGCATGCTCACAGACACGTGCACACACACAGGACACTCGAAACAAGCCATGGGGCCTGCAGAGAGGGCAGTGGGGGCACCGGGCAGGCAAAGCGGCTGCTGCAGAAATAATTCATTTCTGGTAGACAGACCTGGCTCACCACCTCCATAGCCAAGGGTGACTGCAAGCCCCCAGCTTGGGAAGGGCTCTGAGGCCCCGCGCCAACCTTGCAGTGGTTCCTGGGACCTGCAGGGAGCATCCCAAGCAGGGGCCGTGGGGTGCCGGGCTCTGCCATGTGATCCCTGAGGCAGGGCCTGGCCGGGCATGCCTAGACCCCTGTACAACCCGCACGTCCCCAGGTCCCCCAGCATAGCAGCAGTGCGGGGAGTGGAGACGTGAAAATGGGGGAGGCCGCGGCTGGAGGTGCAGGGCTGCCATGTGTTCTCAGTGGAGTGGGGGTAGGAACACTCCAGGTCTGGTTGGGGCCCTGTGAGCGTGTCGCAAACCCAGGGCCAGGCCTGGGTCGGATGCATCACTCCCTGGAGCAGGCAGCTGAGACCAGGGATGCTGGACAGGCTGGTCCCAGGTCGCCAAGCTGACCAGGCCTCAGGCATATGGGCATCCGCAGCTGTCTGGGGCCAGCCCCAGGCTGAGGGGCAGCTAGTAGGGTGCAAGAACTCTTGGGCCCTCAGCTTGCAGTGCAGAAGAGAGTAACCCCTCTGCTGTTGAAACAATTTAGTTGGCTCTTCAGAAAGCTAAGAGCTGTGTACAGTCAGCGTGTGGGAGCTGCGTCCCAGGAGATGGATTCTGCTGATCCAGCCCTCCTTTGCCTTCCTGCGAGGAGGGGTCATCCCAGGCTTTGGGTCAGGATGGGCAGAGCAGACCACTGGGGCCAGGCCATGATGTTCCTAGCCCCTCCATGTCCCCTCGGCTGCTGTCCTGTGTACTTCCCTGGGACAATGCAAGGAAGGGTGGCCCCTGAGGCTGATACGAGGTGACACGGTAGTGCGAGGGGGTCAGGAGGGAGGACCACCATGGGAGGCATGGGTTGCAGTGAGGTGGTCAGGGAGGCCTTCCGAGAAGGCTGGCAGGGAGCACTGCCCAGGGCTTGGAGAGTGTGCATAGGGCAGGGTGGGGGCAGCCAGCAAGGGCAAAGCCCAGTGGGTGTGGCCATGCCCTGGGGGATGGGCCCCAACGCCCCTGAACTGGTCCAGCTCTCTGGATCAGACTAGTGTGCAGTGTGGAGGCCGAACAACATTCCCCCTCAACTGTATGCATATACAGTAGGCGCTCAACAGACTTGCTGGGTCAGACAATAGCCTTGGATAGAGGACCAGGACCTGGGCTGGGCGCACTCTGGGCTCCCGTGAGCCCCTGGCAGCCTTGCGCTGATTTCTGAGTGCAGAATGAGGGGCTGTCAAGGGTGGAACCCAGGCATGCAAAGGCCACAGCGCAGGGGCAGGGCACCTGCCGCCTCGGGACACCGCCGAGGTTCAAAGCCACCTGCCGGTTCCCGCCTGCCTGGCACAGGACCCTGTGGGGGTGGGGTAGCCAGATGGGACAGCTTGTTGTCTCCCTGGAACCTGCACCCTCAGAGGCCCAGCATCCCTGGGGGAGGTTCTGGGGCTGGGGAGACGGCCCCTAGGGCAGGGACAGACGGGCTGATTCTGTCTAGGACAAAGACTTCCTGAGGGGCGCTTCCAGGCCACAGGCCTATGTGGGACAGGGACATGAGTCAGAGGCGCCCTGTGGAGACCCGCAGGTCCAGCTCCTGGTACTGTGTCTGAGAAGCCAGTTGTTCCCTCGCAGCCCACCAAGGCACCTCACAGTCCTGGCCTGAGTCATTGTGGGGTCCTGGGGGAGGAGGATCCTCTGGGAGGAAACTAAGCCTGGACTTTGGGGGTGAGAGACCCAGAGCCCTCAGATACTTGGGGCCTTAAGGCCCAACTTTCAGCCAAACAAAAGCTGGGGGCACAGGCAAGGGATCCTCCTCCAGGGAGGCTGCAGAAGCCAAGCCAGGCTTGAGTGAAGCTCCTTACCTGATCTGGTGTCCTTCTGTGCAACGGCACGAGAGCCTCACGGCACAGCTGGTCTCTGTGACACTCCCTGAGACACCCGGGGAATGTTCCCAATGACCACTGCTGGGCCACTGCCCGACCATGTCACGGATGCCCCTGCCAGGACTCAGGCAAAACCCAGCTGGCCTTGGCACAGCCACCCAACAGCCCTGCAGGGCCCAGTGCCGGACCAGGGCCTTGTCTCCAGCCTCTCCCCCAAGGCGCTTGGGGTCCTTCCTGCACCCTCCCACCTACTCATCTCTGGACCCAGCCCCAGTGTGAATCCTCACCCTGAGCTGAGCCAACTCCTCCAGCCACGTTCTGCAGCTCAAGGAAGGAACTGCCTTTTGCAGCTGGGATCTGCCCGAGCTTCAGCAGCAGCCTTCAATTATGCTAAAGGACTGGAGAGTAACATGGCACACAGCACCCAAGAGCCCAGGCGAGACCTGAGTGGGGCTGGGCTATGGAATCTCTGGCTTCAGGACCCTTCTCAGAATGGACCCTCCAGGCCAGTCTCCCCCACCCCTGGTTGCCAAACTGGGTGCAGGAGTCCACAGCCAGGTCAGCTACTTCCCGGGGAGAAGGCCAGGACTGCAGACCCCGCCCAAGCCTGGGGTCAGCCTTCCTGGGAGCAGCACCATTTGCTGCTTGGGATCAGCCAGGCCAACTGGCCAACTCCCCGCAGATTGGAGGGCTGTGAGGTGAGCACCAGTGAACCCCTGGAGGTGCCAGAAAATGCCAGTGTGGGCACCAGGGGGCTTCCTTGGGTTGGCACATCAAGGGAAGCCCACTGGGTCTGCTCAGCGCCCATGATGGAAGCTCAAGTCCCAGGAGCTGCACCCCAGTGAGGGTCGTTGGCTGGCCGAGGTGGGGGGGTCCCTGAGGTCAGGAGTTTGAGACCAGCCTGGCTAACATAGTAAAACCCCGTCTGTACTAAAAATACAAAAATTAGCTGGGTGAGGTGGCAGGCACCTGTAATCCCAGCTACTCGGGAAGCTGAGGCAGGAGAATTGCATGAATCTGGGAGGTGGAGGTTGGAGTGAGCCGAGATCGTGCCATTGCACTCCAGCATGGGCGAGAGTGTGAGACCCCATTTCAAAAACAACAAAAAAAGACTGGGATGATAATCATATGCCAAAATGTTCACAGCGATCGTTCTTTGCTGATGGAATTATGGTGGCTTTATGTCTTCACATGGGTTTGTATTTTCCACATTTTATACAATGACTATGATGACTTTATCAGAAGAAAACGTAGAGGCTGGGCGTGGTGGCTCATGCCTATAATCCCAGCACTTTGGGAGGCCGACGCAGGTGGATCACAAGATCAGGAGTTCGAGAACAGCCTGGCTAACATGGTGAAACCTCATCTCTATCAAAAATACAAAAATTAGCTGGGTGTGGTGGCAGGTGCCTGTAGTCCCAGCTACTTGGGAGGATGAGCAAGAATGTTGCTTGAACCCAGGAGGTGGAGGTTGCAGTGAGCTGAGATCATACCACTGCACTCCAGCCTAGGCAACAAAGTGATACTCTTATCTCAAAGAGAAAAAAAAAAAGGAAAAAGAAAAAAATGATGTAAGAACTCCAGATAATTCATAGATCAGCTTCATTCTGCCCAAAGTGAGCTGGCATTAATGTGCTACAAAGTATAAAGAAGACCAGGCGCGGTGGCTCACACCTGAAATCCCAGCACTTTGGGAGGCCAAAGTGGGTGGATCACTTGAAGTCAGGAGTTTGAGACCAGCCTGGCCAACATGGTGAAACCCCATCTCTACTAAAAATCCCGAAACTAGCCGGCTGTGGTGGTGGGCACCTGGTCCCAGCTACTCACGTGGCTAAGGTGGGAGGACCACTTGAACTCTGGAGGCGGAGGTTGCAGTGAGTCGAGATTGTGCCACTGCACTCTACCCTGGGCAAAAGAGTGAGACTGTTTCAAAATATATGTATACTTATTTTATGCAGCCTCATTACAGCCAAACTAATCTTAAAAAAAAAAAAGTCATATAAAGCAGTAACTTTTTATCTCCATTAAAAATGGCAGGATGGAACTCTCGGTCCTGCCTCTGATAACTGGGAAGTTGTGTGGACCGCTCAGCCAGAGGCTACTCCATTTCTCTCACTACCCCCTCTCTCTGTCCGTATCTGTGTCTCTGGGTCACTCTGAGTCTGCCTGTACACGTGTGTGCATATGGGTCTCACACACACACACCTGCTCAAGCCATCTTCAAATGCTCCATCACAAAGGTGGCCCCGCCTCTTGGCAAAATTATGACCTTCATGGGCCTCAGTGCCTGCACCAGGCCCATGCTCCAGAAGGCCTCCAGGCTCACCACCTCCCCCTCAAACATCTGCCGGGCCTGCATCCAGAACACAGCCATGAACCTTGTCAGCCTTGTTCACTCAGCCAGGGCCTCTGCCCACCGAGCCCTCGATGAAAGCCACCACGTGGAAATCACAAGGACCTTCAGTCCCTGATAGCCGGCTGGGAGCTGGCGTCCACCCGCAGAGGGCAGGGTGCAGACGGGCCATGGGAGAGAGGAGAGGCTGCAAGGCTGAGCCTGAGCCTGGAGTGGAGGGGTGTGGGGTTTGCGGGTTTGCAGGCTGCTGTGAGACCAGGATGCTCAGGCCATGTGGGAGCGCTGGGAGTTTGGGGAGGTCTGAATGAACCAAGGGTCCGGGGCTGGACCCCCGGGTTACCCACCTTCCTTGCTGCCTCTTAGGGCGGGGCAGCCACAGCAGGGGCATCGGTGGAGCTAACTTGGGCACACACTTCGGGCAGGGAAGAGAGAGCTGGGTCCTTCAGGCCCAGCCTCAGGTCCAGGGCCTGTCCTTGGATACGTACTCAGCAGAGATGGGGAAGCTAAAAGGCACCACACACCCGGCCCACCCCCAGCACCTCCCATGGGACTCACCTTCCTATTTCTGAAATATTCCCACAAAGATGCCAATTTTAAGTTAGGTGAACTCTCACTTCATGTACACCATCTACACGTTGGTTAAAAACGCGCATTGATGAACATAGTTTGTGAATACCTAGGCCTATAGAATTGCATGTTTGTTTTGAGGCAGGGTCTCGCTCTGTCATCCAAGCTGGAGTGCAGTGGTGTGATCTCGGTTCACTGCAGTTTCTGCCTCCCAGGTTCAAGCAATTCTCCTGCCTCAGCCCCCGAGTAGCTGGGATTACAGGTGTGTGCCATCACACTGTGCTGTGTTTTTGTTATTTTTACTGGAGATGGGGTTTCACCATGTTGGCAGGCTGATCTAGAACTCCTGGCCTCAAGAGATATGCCTGCCTCGGCAAAGAACACCCTTTACTTCAAAGTACCCAGGGAAAGCCCAGGCACAGCCTCCCCAGCCTGGCAGCCCCTGCCAGCCTGTACTGAGGGTAGGTGTGAGTGTCCGCAGGTGGGAGAGCAGCCAGCACACCTCAAGTTCTGCTCCCAAGGTGAACCCCACACACATCAGGGAGAGACTCCTGGGCTTCGGGGTGCTCAGCCCCAGGGGCCCCAGCACCACCTGCTCTCGTGCATGGACTCAGCACCTACTGTGTGCAGACCCTTCTCAGGGGTGGGAGGGAAGGTGGGGTCTCACCCTACAGAGCTTTCAGGACAGCTGAGGGTTTCCCAGGGCCTGTGGGAAGCCTAAACCAAAAACTTTCCCAGTGAGTGAGACTCCTCACTTTGAGGGATTTGGGTTCTTAGTCCGCAGAGCAGATGCAGGAGAATGTGATCCCATGCCCAGGCTTCATGGCTCTGGGGTTCTTCCTGCCAGCAGTCTCCACCAACACCCCTGCTGCCCCTCAGAGCACCCCCCATCAGAGTATGCAGGGCCTCCTGAGCCCACTCAGGCTGGGAGGGCGCCCAGGCCTGCCTTTCCGCACCTGCCTGCTCTCAAGGCTTAAGGTAACTTTCTCCATTTGTGCTAACATCTTCCATATATATTTTTTTTTTTCCAGGCTGGAGTGCAGTGGCACTAATTCGATCTTGACTCACTGCAACCTCTGCCTCCTGGGTTCAAGCGATTCTCCTGCCTTACCATGGACCTGATGCCTGTGCTCAGTCCCTCTCTCAGCTTGGCACTGTGCTCAGCACCGTCGTATGTGTGCATGCATCTGAATGTGTGCAGACATCATGAGGTGTGGTCTCTGCTCTTAGGCAGCTTACCTTGTGGCTGAAATGAACCATCACCTGCATCAAGGGGTGGAAACACAAGGCCAGATGCAGTGACCTTGTCTGGAGTCAGACGGCTCCGTGACCTGGCTTCACTCCAGAACTACCTGGGGTTTCTAGTTGTGCAAATCCCAGGTCCTACCCAGATTATGAGTCCAGTTTTCTACAGGTGGAGCCCAGAAAGGTGTATTTTTAATGTGATGGTACTGCCCAGCCCAGCCAGTGGTCTCTGTGTGCCCAGGAACTGCTGACACAGAGCTTGTGCTCCCCATAAAACGGGAGACAGAGCCTTCACGGACGGGGGACGTGTAGCTTGGTCATGACAGGGTGTTTTGTACCAGCACAGACTGTGTTCAGGTGACATTAAGCACAAGTTCCTGCAGGCTAGCTGCCTGGACAGGGCTGGGTGGGGGTAGAAGTTAGAGGGGTCACAGAGGGGCTTCCTCCCGGCCGCCTCACCAGCTGCTTGATTTAAGGCTTGGCTCTGGGTCCTCCTGGGCCTGATTCTGAACCACGGGACTGGTGTGGCCTGCAGGCTCCTCCTGCCACGAGCTGTTCATGGTGCAGGGGGAGAACAGTGTCCACAGTTCCCCAGGCAGCAGCAGTGGATACCAGGCCCCCAGGAGTTGTTACTGAAGTTGCTGCTGGACAACTCGCCTTTCACTGAGCTCCACATAGCACCCGTGGTGATGGGAGCCGGGTGGAGAGAGTCTGCCAGCCTGCGCATCAGCTCCCAACTGGGAGGGGCAGAGGGAGGAGGGGGTGGGAGCCCCAGGCAGCAGGGCTCTGGGAGCAGTGGGGCCCTGGGTTCCAGGGGTGTCTGGTAGGCCCCTCCCTACTCTACCTTGCTTAGCCTCTCGATGGAGATGCTGGCTGCAGTCGGGCTCTGCCCCTAAGGGCTGCAGACATGGCGGGTATGGGCTGCTGCCCCGTGGGGCCTGTGAACAGACCCCAGGGCCTCTGCCAATCATGACTCCTTGCTTTCAGCTGGACCTACAAGCCCTGCAGGACAGAGACTGACAGTATGCTGTCATTGCCATGAATAGGGTACGTGTCTATGAGATTCTCCTGGCACCCACATCCCCCAAAAGGGTAGGGTGGCCTCTGTTCATTTCAAATCGGTCAGAGGTAGCTGAGCCTCAGCCAGCATCTGACATGGAGCCTGGTTGGAGGAGGGAGGTTCCCCGAAGAGCAGAATCGCCATGCCCGGGAATCGTCATTCACTGGCTGGGATATAGTTGCCAGCCAGCCCTGAGCATCCCCTCCTCAAACGAAGGTCTCATGGCACCACCAGGACAGGTGGGGCCTCCACTGGGGGACCTGGGGGCTGCATGTAGAAACGGAGCCTTCTGATTTGTCTTTAGGTACCCCAGAAAAGTTTAGACCTTAGAAGCAATGACATACCCAAAAAGACCTGGGTATAAATGGTAAAATGTTAACATTTGATGATTCTTGGGTTTTTCTTGTATTACTCTGTCTGTCTTTCTTAATTTTTGTCACTAAGAAAGGGAAAGACAGGCACAGTGCACCTACAGTCTCAGCTACTTTAGAGGCTGAGCCAGGAGAATCACTGGAGCCCAAGAGTTTGAGTATAGCCTGGGCAACATAGCAAGATCCTGTATCTAAAAAAAAAACCCAAGCAAGCAAGAGAAGCAGCGGGGATTTTTAGGAAGTGGTTCTGCAGAAGCCAGTCCTTTACACCATCTTCAACAATCCCGGCCGTTGCTGAAGTACACTAGGGGATTCCCT